CCCCCCCCTGTATATTATTTATTGTTTATTGAACTATTCAGATAAGTAATTTTCCCTCACTTGTTTCTCAAGCTCTGCAAACTCTTCCATCTGCGAGGAGAGATGAAAAACTTTCCATCCATTAAGTTTTTGTAATACATGCTTCTGTTGTGCCAATTCAGCAACAGTAGGTCTTCTCTCTTCACGTGGTCGAACATCACTCGGTCTTCTGTAATGGTGTAGTCTACTATCTCCCCACTTATCTTTCCAGGAAGCTGAAAAATAAATAGTACATAATAAAAACATGAAATATGAATGTGCAGAATGAAATCTAATGCAAACTTTCTACATACCTCCTAATAAACTTGGCATAGGCCGTAATCGTACTGTAAGTTCTGTTTGCTGAATAGGTGATTTTATATCTCTGTGTACATTAGAAGCGTGTCTCTTATCAGGCGATTTTTCTTTTGATTCTTCTTTTATTTCTTTCCTTGCCTTATCTTCTGTGAAAAATTCCATTACTACTTCTGTACACCTAGATTCAGTTAATTCCACGCCTGTAAGTTGTTGTTTACGAGGTTTTTTCCTCGGTGACATTTCTCCAGTGGGATTAATGGTGATCCTAGATAGTTCCGGTTCTTCATCAAGACCCGGTGAGGACGTCGCGGACACAGTTGTAGATCCTGAACTTGCACAACCCCCACCATCCTGATCTGCTCTTGGTGAACATGGTGGACTGGAAGTCGATCTACTTGATGGTAATGATGCTAGTAGAGGAACTAAATTTTTTGCTGCACCTAATATATAATTAAAGAATTATCACATTATCAAAAATTGTTCTGGAATACCCTATATATACACACACACACTAGATAGATATAATGTATTTTTATTTAAAAAATGTTTTTATTAAGGTAAAAGATTTATTTTAATTTGTCTTTATGTGTTTTTTTTAGGATTTTATATATATATATATATATATATATATATATATATATATATATATATGAGACAGGATAGAAAATCATTCAGAGAAGGATATATTTTATAAAAAAAATATTAATTTTTTTATGTGAAACATAAAAAATAATATTAGCAATTTAATTATATCTTTCTCTTTATATTACATATAGTTTTAAGAAATATAAATAATAATTATGAGTGAGATATTTTTCTCTCTTTCTATAAAACATACAACACACAGACCATCTGAATAACTTGTAATCATGCGATATATGAATAAAAACAATGTAAATTAGAAGACGCAAAACTGTGAATATGATTGTAAGAATATAGAGAACTTTTGTTCTCAAACTTAAAAAAAGCATCATAATAATACATACTTTGTCAAAGGACAATTTCTTCATTAAATTTTTTTCTGAAAAAGATACGCTTTGTACTTTTTTCCGGCGAGTTTAATTTTTTCATAAAAAATAATAACATTATACTATGTATAATGAGTTCTACCTGTATACGAGTCTAAAATATATTGTAAGTCATTTACAATTTTTTATAATGCTATTTTTATAACTTTTATGCAGAATGTTACAAGAAATCTACTTATATAAAACGATTAAGGTAATTCAATAAAAAATCAAAGTTAATCTTTAAATCTCCGAAACATCTGCATTTATAAAAAGAAAATACATATACCATCTAATAACTTCCTCGAAATCATGTAACTTTTGCATGTAAATTATTACATGTAAATTATTACATGCAAAAGTTACATGATTTCGAGGAAGTTATTAGATGGTATATGTATTTTCTTTTTATAAATGCAGATGTTTCGGAGATTTAAAGATTAACTTTGATTTTTTATTGAATTACCTTAATCGTTTTATATAAGTAGATTTCTTGTAACATTCTGCATAAAAGTTATAAAAATAGCATTATAAAAAATTGTAAATGACTTACAATATATTTTAGACTCGTATACAGGTAGAACTCATTATACATAGTATAATGTTATTATTTTATATGAAAAAATTAAACTCGCCGGAAAAAAGTACAAAGCGTATCTTTTTTCAGAAAAAAATTTAATGAAGAAATTGTCCTTTGACAAAGTATGTATTATTATGATGCTTTTTTTAAGTTTGAGAACAAAAGTTCTCTATATTCTTACAATCATATTCACAGTTTTGCGTCTTCTAATTTA